ACCCCCAGGTGCCGCAGATGCCCCAGACTCCACAGAACCCCCAGGTGTTCCCATATCTGCAGATGCCCCAGGTACTCCAGTATCTACAGATGCTCCAGGCTCCACAGAACCCACAGGTGCTGCAGATGCCCCAGACTCCACAGAACCCCCAGGTGCCCCAGGCTCCACTGGATGTTGACCTTCCGTACCTGTCTTCTCTTTATTCACACCCATTATTTTCTTACCTCTTTACATCAGGAGCTGAAGATACTTCACCACAATTTTCATTGTCATTCTCCTCCCCTCAGCAAGCTTTCTCTGTTCCAACCCCAGTTGCATCACAAGTTCCAGAAGATGCTAGTTACCCTCAGATGCCTCTGGACCCATACTTTTGGCCATTTGGATCTTATAGTCATGACCTGCCTTCATACTTTCCTTTCCCTGTTCCTGAATACCAAAATATTCCTATGCCAGAATACCCTAAAAATCCTGTAACAGAATATCCTAAGAATCCCACACCAGAAATGAAGACTGCAGCTCCTACAACTTCTGAAAGTCCTATGCCCTCAGCAGCAGTTACTCAGGCCACTACAGATATTCCTCAGTCTTATTCACCTGAGAAGCTGCCGTTTCTTCCCTATGGACAGGAATTTCCACACTTTTTCTACCCTTATCAAGGCTAGTCTGCAATAAACGTTTAACTAAATAAATGGCTCTGTCTTTTTGATATGGTAAATTTTACTTTGACTTTTGGAATTTAAGTTCTTGATGTGCAAATTGTAACTGTTAACATGGTGTTTAGTTTCTCAGTATCCTAAAACCTTGGCAACTTTAAAAAATTGACTAAACACTTTTTTTTTTTTTTTTTTTTTTTTTTGTCTGCAAACTGCATGATTCAATGACCAAAGACTAAGTCGATGGTCCACTTCTGGAGCTGGCTAAACAGAATGTCTACATGAAATAAAACTGTTAGGAGAAGCTGAAATTATCCTCCAGCTTCTCTAAGTGGTATGATCAGAGTCCCTAATTTCAAAACACTGGACCAGGTCTTTGTGCTCAGTGTTCACAGCTTAACTTGCTGTGCTTGCTCTTGGGACTTGCCTATGTAAAAGACTCATTAATGATTGCAAGAATTTTACATGTTGCTTGAGGTGGCGGTCCACTCCAGTCCTCTCCTTTGTACACACAACACTAGCCGGCATCAACAAAACCAGCGCCAAATGGAGTGAGTCTCCCAACTATCTGCCTGATCAAAATGAATGTACCCCTCTGTACTGCCTCTTTAAATGAGCTGACGGCTACGTGTAAATATTTCTATACCATGATCTTGCTACAACCTTAATACTACAAAACGAGTGTTCAGTTTTCTGATGCATTCACTTGTGCTTTGCATGTCCAATATCTGTATTGTCTCGGGCTGCATACAGTTTGGTGTCCAAAAGTCAACTTGCCATTTTTTGCATTTAAAAAAAAAAAAAAAAAAAAAAATGGCAAGTTGGCTTTCTTGGACTGTGGTCTGTCTCTGAAAGAGGACTTTTTTGCAAACCAAGGTGTACCGCAAACCCACCCACACATTTGCAGTTTGACTCCCATCACCCCTTGGAGCACAAGTTAGGAGTCATCAGGACTCCATCATAGAGCAGACAGCATCCCCACTAACTCGGGAGCCAGGCAGAAGGAGAAATCTTACACAAAACAGGCTCTAGAGCAATGTGGATATCTTAACTGGGCCTTCCTGAAAGCAGAGAAGAAACCCAAACAGGACTCCAGTCAGCCATCAGGTGAAAAGGAGGAACCCAGACCAGTGGTCATTCCGTATGTTGAGGGAGTATCAAAGAAACAGACATTTATTTTCTAAACATAACGTCCCAGTGGCTTTTAAACCCCAAAATACATTACGGCAAAGACTGGTTCATCCCAAAGATCCAGTCCCCCGGCACAGAGTAATGCTGTGTATGCTGTTCAGTGTCAGGAGGGCTGTGATCAGTCTTACATCGGGGAAACTAAACAGCCACTGGCCAAAAGGATGGCCCAGCACAGAAGATCAACATCATCAGGCCAGGACTCTGCAGTCTACACTCATCTCCAGGCCAGCTGTCACTCTTTCAAGGATGAAGATGTTCACATCCTGGATAGAGAGGAACGATGGTTTGAGAGAGGAGTAAAGGAGGCCATCTTTATGAAGAGAAATCGTCCATCATTAAAAAGGGGTGGAGGCCTCCGGGTTCAACTGTCCCCCTCTTACAATGCTGTGATTGCTAGTATCACTCTGTGAATAGTAAACAGCCATCAGTGTGCTAATGATCCATTGTTAGGCTGATGGTCCTTCTTGAGCATGTGATCAGCTGGTTTTGGTTGTCAGCAGCAAAACTGGTTGATCCACTCTGAGAAGGTGCTATTTAAGAGACTGAGCTGAAAACAGCACCTCAGACTGAGGAAGTCTCTTGGATGAGAGACGAAACGTTTCTATATTTTTTTGCTTTGGTTTTTTTTTTTTTTTTTTTTTTAGAATGTCCAGAGGACCAGATTGAACTTTTTTGGATTTTTCTACCTGGATTATTGAGCATGCATCAGGATATGTATGGATATAGTTTACTCAGCGTTGTGTTTAATGATGACCAGAAGACGAGCGTCGAACTGAATGTTGTTTAATCTACATTAAAACAAAACGTGCACTGGTCATAATCTGGGCTCATCGCAGCGGCACCTCGTGCCGTCTTCTCATTGAATGGACCTATTGCTGTACATTACACCTGTAACAAAACCCTGACTAAATGGAGCTTATACACGCACAAGAGAGTTCTTTAAATTATTTTTCAAAGGTTAGAAATATGAGTATGTTAAAGATCAATTTGTAAACAACAGTAAAATAAAACTTGCTCGGGCACGTCAGCTCAGAAGTGCAGGAGGGTGGAGCACGCTGTATAAACAAAAATCAGCTGTTCCGACCGAAACTTCAAAATAATCCGCCACTCACACACTCCTTCACGAAAATGAACACCAGACAAAACTGAATCGTCTCTCTGATTAGACTTTATGTAGGAAAATAAAGAGTCTCTGAAATAAACCAATTTCACATATTTCAGAAGAGGAAGAGAGATATCTCAATAATAATAATAATAATAATAATAATAATAATAATAATAATAATAATAAATGTCCAATGAAAAGTCTGCAGTTATGCGCTCAAAAATATCAAGAGATAAAAAAAAATATATATATATTCAGGTCCCATTCACCAGTCTTGGAAGGAAATGTGTCAAAAAGTGTTGCAACCCTTAATGCAGGGGAATTAAGTTGGACGACTGACAGAGGCTCTATGTAAAAGCTTGGTCTATGGTTTTTCTGTGGTTGTTTGTTTTACGGTTGTCTATGAGGTGAAATGACATCAATTTACAGCTTTTTTTTTTTCAAATTGGATGCTTCTGTTGTTGGAATGAATTCTGGCGCATATATATGTATATATATATATATATATATATATA